GGAGGTCTACGACTAGTGTCGTCTCTAAACTATTAATTCCATATCCAATATCTTAAATAAATTTAATCAAATGGTTTAAAATGGAATTTTTTATAGTAAGGTTATGGCCCGTGTTGTCTCTAAATTCCTTGAAAATGGGAAGGAGGTCTACGACCAGTGCCGTCTCTAAACTATTAAATTCCACATCAAAAATGTTTTAGTAAAAACTTATTCTATTACTCAACCAAATCGATACCTTCAAATCAACGAAATCAACCAATTAATTTTCGAACCAGAACTACGTAGCCTTGATTTCCCTATTGCAGCTAGGGATACGTAGGAGCAAGTTGAATTCTTGTCAGGCACAACTATAAAAAATAAAAACATTTTGTTTTTATTTACTGAATTTTAATAAATAATTTTAAGGGTATAAAAGTCCATGTTATTAGGGAGGGTACCGTTTTAATACGGGCGGACGGGGTGCTAATACCTTCCCCGAACCGTAATCGACTCCCGAGCTCAGAATCTCTAGTTAAAGACCAAATTATCCTAATTGGGCATGTTTAGAGTTTTCTACGTTTTAACCGTAAAAAACGTAGTGGCGACTCCAAAATAATTGGAAGAGGTAGAAATCGAGTTCGCCTCTCCCAAAGTCGCAGGGCCGGTCTTCCAACCGAAAATCGGGTCGCGACAGTTACCGCATAGTGTGAATGCAGTGAGGGTTGAACGACCTCGATCCACTAGCAGAGTGTTCACCATGAGTGGTGCAGAGGCATCGGGTGTAGATGGCCTGATAAAAGGTAATTGCATGGTGGCAGGTATTCCTTTTTTAGTGTTGTTTGATTCGGGAGCGACACACTCCTTTGTATCTATTGAATGCGTGGATAGACTGAAATTGCAAACTGAGTCATTGCCTTTCGACTTGGTCGTATCCACCCTAACTGATGCGCATGTGGTGGTGTCGACATTTGTTTCTCGATGTCCGATAGTGGTAAACGATAGGGCTTTTACCGTGGATTTAATCTGCTTACTAATATCCCAGTTAGATCTAACTATGGGGATGGACTGATTGTCGGCAAATCATGTGGTACTTAATTGTGCTGATAAGACCGTGGTATTCGGAAATCTAGAGGAGATTTCTGATGAGGCTAGTTATACGAAGTCGTTGTCGGCTAAGGAAGTCAGAACTTCCAGTAAGGAGGGAGGAGCCGTGTTTATGTTGTTGGCATCCCTGGAGGGTATTGAGAAACCCAAGGTTGAGGACATTCCGATGGTTCGGGAGTTCCCTGAGGTATTTCCTGGTGATATTCCGGAATTGCCTCTAGTGAGAGAAGTTGAATTCTCTATTGACTTGGTACCTGGAACGGGACCCATCTCTATAGCTCCTTATAGGATGGCACTGTTAGAATTGGCTGAGTTGAAAAATCAGGTTGAGGACTTATTGGCAAAGAAGTTTATTCGTCCTAGTGTCTCGCCGTGGGGTGCGCCTGTTCTGTTGGTTAAGAAGAAAGATGGTAGTATGCGGTTGTGTACCGACTACCGACAACTGAACAAGGTTACTATTAAGAACAAGTATCTGTTCCCTCGGATTGATGACTTGATGGATCAGTTGAGAGGAGCAATAGTGTTTTCAAAGATTGATCTTCGGTCAGGATACCACCAATTTCGTGTGAAGTCGGAAGACGTTCCTAAAACTGCTTTTAGGACAAGGTATGGACAATTTGAGTATTTGATCATGCCTTTTGGTGTAACGAATGCCCCAGCAATATTAACCGACTACATGAATCGGATTTTTCATCCGTATTTGGATTCATTCGTAGTGGTATTTATTGATGACATTTTGGTTAACTCCAAAAGCCGAGAGGAACATGTTGAGCACCTGAGGATTGTTCTAGAACTTCTTAGTAAGAATCGGTTGTATGCGAAGCTGTCAAAATATGATTTCTGGTTGGAATCGGTAAACTTTCTTGGATATGTAATATGCAAGGAATGAATGGCAGTAGATCCTTCTACGACGCCAGTATTGGTTCTTCCTTGTGCTGATCGGGATTTCAGTGTTTATTGTGATGCATCCAAGCAAGGTTTGGGTTGTGTGTTGATGCAAGAAGGGAAGGTTGTTGCCTATGCTTCTCGACAGTTGAGGACGCATTAGCAAAACTACCATACCCATGATTTGAAATTAGCTACAGTGGTCTTTGCCTTAAAAATCTAGAGACACCATCTTTATGGTGTGAGATTTGAGGTATACAGTGACCACAAGAGTTTGAAGTACCTGTTTGATCAAAAGGAATTGAATATGAGACAGAGAAGGTGGATGGAATTCCTTAAGGATTATGATTTTGGGTTGCAGTACCATCCGGGAAAGGCCAATGTGGTGGCCGATGCTCTATGTCGGAAGTCTTTACATATGTCGGCTTTGATGGTTAGAGAAGGGAAACTGATTGAAGAGTTCAGGGATATGAACTTGGAAGTTCAGATGAAGCCTCATAGTATGATTTTAGGGATGCTTAAAGTCACGAATGAACTGTTTTATCAAATCCGAGTAATGCAAGTTGAGGATAGTAAGCTAATGGCTAAACGGGATTTGATGCTAAATGGTAAGGAAACTGATTTCGCATCGGACCCTAGTGGATTGTTGCATTACAAAGGGAGAGTGTGTGTACCTCGTGATGTGGAATTGCGAAAGGGTATTTTGGAGGAGTCACACAAGAGTAAAATGAGTTTTCACCCAAGGACTACAAAGATGTACCAAGATTTGAAAAAGCTATTTTGGTGGTCTGGGTTGAAAAATGATGTGGCTTCATATGTCTCGAGTTGTCTTGTCTGTCAGAAAGCCAAGATTGAGCATCAGCGGCCAGCAGGAGAACAACAATCCCTAGAAATTCCCGTTTGGAAGTGGGATAATATTTCCATGGATTTTGTATCGGGCTTTCCAAGGACTCATAAAGGGTATGATTCGATATGGGTGATAGTGGATCGGTTAACTAAATCCGCACACTTTCTGCCTATGAACATGAGATATTCTTTGGAGCGATTGGCGGAACTGTATATCCAGGAAATAGTTCGTTTGCATGGGATTTCGTTGAGCATTGTATCAGATATGGATCATCGTTTCACTTCGAACTTTTGGACTAGTTTGCAGTCCGCATTAGGAACTAAGTTGAAATTGAGTTCAGCTAATCATCCACAAACGGACGGTCAATCAGAAAGATCCATACATTCATTGGAGGATCTTTTGAGGGCTTGCGTCTTGGAACAACCGAGGAGTTGGGATAGCATGTTGCCTTTAATTGAATTTACCTACAACAATAGCTTCCATTCGAGTATTGGGATGGCACCTTATGAGGCGTTGTATGGTAGGAAGTGCCGAACTCCAGTGAGTTGGTTTGAAACTGGGGAGAACTTGATATTGGGAATCGAGCTGGTCCAAGAGACGACGGAAAAGATCAAGAAAATCCGGGAGAATATGAGGATCGCCCAGAGTCGGCAGAAAATCTATTACGATAAGAGGCGGAAACCTCTTGAGTTTAATTAGGGAGATCATGTTTTTATGAGAGCAGTCCCGACTACCGGAATTGGTAGAGTGTTGAAGTCCCGCAAGCTGACTACGCGATTTATTGGGCTGTATCAAGTATTGAGGAGGATTGGACCAGTAGCGTATCAGATTGCTTTACCTCCGTTGTTGTCGAATCTCCATAAAGTGTTTCATGTGTCTCAATTGAGGAAATATGTTGGGGATCCATCTCATGTGGTTGAGTCTGATCAGATAGAATTGAAGGATAACTTGACTTTTTCGACGTTGCCCGTGAGAATCATGGATACCAGTGTCAAAAGACTAAGAGGCAAAGAGATCCCGTTGGTGAAAGTACTATGGAGCCAAGTAGACGAAGGGGATGCTACTTGGGAGGTGGAACGTGATATGAGGGAGGATTACCCTCATTTGTTCGAATCGAGGTATGTTTAATTTTCGGGGACGAAAATTCTTATAAGAGGGGGAGGATTATAACACCCTAATTTTAAGTCTTTAAAATTATAGTATCAGTCCTAGGATTCTCGCTTAAGCGAGGGATTCTCGCTTAGGCGAGAGAGGTTCACCTGGGAGGGTGAAATCCTGGGCTATACTGAAGGATTCTCGTCTGAGCGAGGGTTGTCTCGCTTGAGCGAGAGTGGTCTCGCCTGAGCGAGAGTTGGCTCGCCTGAGCGAGAAAGGCTCAACTGGAAGGGGGAAATCCTGGGCTATACGGAAGGATTCTCGCCTGAGCGAGAGATTGGCTCGCTTGAGCGAGAGTGGCCTCGCCTGTGCAAGAGATTGGCTCGCCTGGGCGAGAAAAGTGATATTTTGGACATGTCGAGGCTGTAAGATCCTCGCTTGAGCGAGAGATGCCTCGCCTGGGCGATAGTTCCCTCGCCTGGGCGAGAGGGTCAGATCTGAGTTTTTAAAATTGGCGGGATTTTCTCGCTTGAGCGAGAATGAGCTCGCTTAAGCGAGAACCCGACGAGCCAACATTAAATGAGAAACCCCAAACACACTTTAGGGTTAGAAATTGAAGAGAAGTGAGAGACTTTTCCAAGGGCAAGGAGCTTGGATACTCATCTAAGAGCTTGAGAAGAGGTAAAACTCTTGATTCTAACTCTCTTCTTCTCTTTGAAACTCATTTTGGGTATGTTGGATCTCTTCTCAAAATGTGTAAAACCATGGAAACTTGCCCTTTTGAGTTATGGTTCGTTTTATGTTGTTTTTATCTTATAAACTCTTGGTTTAGAGTTAGTATTTCGAAAATGGAAAGAGTTTGTGGGTTGATTCATGAAAACCCCAAAACCCTAAAGTGAAAATGTGGTTAAAGTGTAAAATGGGTAAAATGCTAGAGGTAGAAAATGAGTTTACTTTCTAATGTTGAAATATGAGATGAATATGTATGTTTTAGATGGTTGTAAACTTATGATGAATATCTTGTATGGTTAAATAATGCAATATAAGTTGTTTATGTGATATTTGGAATAAATGACTAACATTGTGTTATATGGTGGGAATGAGGAAAAATCCTAGAGTTGGAGGCGGTGTCGGGGGAACTTGCGAAGTTGCCAAGAACCAAACTCAACACTCACCGAGGTAAGGATAAGTCTTAACTTATGCATTGTGTTTGAAAATGCGTGGATTTTCTGGTTGTGGATAGTGAATTGAATTTGTGAACCACTTAATTATTATAAGCATATATGGGTATGTTTGTAATAATGAAGGTGTGGATTTACTGTTTATGGATTGATGGAGTGTCAATAAAAAGAAAACTCGTTTTTAGTCGACCATGAGTGGTTAGCGACTTTGGCTCAAGCGATGTAGCAAGCTTTGGCTCAAACAATGTAGCAAGCTTTGGCTCAAGCGATGTAGCAAGCTTTGGCTCAAGCGATGTAGCAAACTTTGGCTCAAGTTATGTAGCATGGTTTTCAAAAGTATAAACGATGAAAATGGTTTTAAGTGTATTTGATTCTAAATTGTTTATCTAACTTTATTAAAATGTGGATTAACGGATATTGACTTTTATTAAGTTAACGACTTACTCCTTTGTGTTTTCTGTGTATGGTCAATGTTAATCCCATTGTAGGTAGGCGGAAGAAGTGACGATGATTTGGTTAGGAGCTTAGAGGCTTTTGTTTCATTTTTTGAATTCTTCTTGCCTATTCTTTTGTAATCTAATTGGTTGCATTTTGAAACTGAATATTTGTAACTATGAGTACGATTTTTGTACATGATGGTAACTCTGGATATTTGTAGCTATGGGTGTTTTGGAAACCCATAGCTAGTTGTATGCAGTAGTTACTGAGCTGCAATAATATGAATAATGTTTTTCTGTCAAATTAATGTGTATGTCGTTATTGGGTTAAGGTGTGATTGTGAAGAGGAGATTGTGATTTTGAAATAAGGTTATGTAATTGGTAAATGCGATTTATAGGGGAAAAAAGCATGAAACTTGAATAAAATAAGGAAAAAATTTCAAAGGTAGAATTTTGGTCTTTACATTCCACCACAACAGTTTGAAAAAATCCACATCCGAACATCCAAAGAATGAGTATCAAAAGTCTGTGATGGAATAATAAAATGATGATAAGGATGGATTACATAATTGTATCAATTTATTGTTATAATAAATCTTTGATTATTTAGAGCAACACATTTATCTTAGAATAAATGAGATAGGAAATTTGCATGTGTTGAAAATATAAACTATTGGTTGACCTTAGACTAATTACCTATACTTTGTAAAATGATATAAAGGATTGGTCAAAAATAATATTAACTGGCAATAAATAAATAAATAAAATTACGCATGTATAAATCTATAAAATTTAGTTTTGAAAGTAATAATCAATTAATGTAGTCATCTGTTTTCACAATTTACAAAGTCAATCTCTAGAATGGTTGGGCTGGCATATATGATAATATAACATTAAATATAAGTAATTTTTTTATTTATTTTTTATAGTCTTCCACATTATTTGTTATTTTTTTTAGTGAAAATAATATTTTATATTATGTCCATAATTCATAGAATAAGTTTTATATTTATGCATGTTTGATGTACCAAAAAGGATGTACCGGTATATTCCAGAATAAGTGATTATCCCTCCCAACGTGTATGGTTTATATTAATTCAACGGTAATTGTCAGGGTTTGTGAAGTTTAGTGTGAATAATTTTAAAAATGAAAATGATATTAACAAACATGTAATGTGGAAATAAAAACATTGAAATGGAAATTGTTTTTTGAATATGAAAATAGGAAGTAGAAAACATTTCTTGAAATCAAACACACCTAAGGACCCACTTTAAACATTAATTAATTTTTTATATCGATATTCTTATGAATATTATGTAGTTTAGTTAATATGTTTTGTTTTACTAAATATATTAAAAATTAGATATAATTTTATAGAAAATCACATTGATTATTATGACTCACATATTCACTTTTTCATTCTATGTTACTTAGTCACTGTTTTGGCAATAGAATCAATTAATGTAATTAGAAAGTGAAAATAGTCTATGCACTTATACTATAATAACCTTTTACACTTTCAATATATCATATCATGCATTATTCTTATGTCTCTCTTAAATATAAGTAGTAATACAGATGAATGAAGAATGATAGATAAATAATAATAAAAGTAGTGATATATGATTCACATTATTAAATGTAATAACTTTTATTATTTTTAGTTCCTTGATAATTATAAATTGATTTTAAATTCATAGAAAAAGTTTGACATTAATACAAGAGTACTACAGCTTCAAAAGCAAGCAATATTATATATATATATATTTAATAACCGATATTTTAGAATAATTGTTTGACTATTAACATCGTCACATTTATCTTAAATAAGGGAGATAACAGGTTTTAATTTGTTGAAAATATAAAGTATTAATTGAAATAAATTCAACTTTTGAATCTATTATAGAATGTATCACCTTCTTTTGTTAAATAAAGTACCACATCACCTGATAGATAAGATCCTAATATCTTTTTGAATGAATGATAATTCATCTAAACAAGTGTCACTGATACGTATTTATTGGGTCAGCCTTATACATATGTGTCGCTCATGGCCTATAATTAACATTGCAACACATCTACTCAGAATAAATGATATTGGAAATTTCTCTTAGTTTAAAATGTAAACTATTGTTGTCTTTAATGTGACTACATATGCTTTGCACAATGATATAAAAAATAGGTAAAAATAATATTAATTGGCAGTATATAAACAAAATTATGCAAATAGAAATCTAGAAAAAAAATATTTTTAAAAGTGAGAATAAATTCATGTACTGATCCTCAATTCAAAATTTACAAATCCAATGCCTAAAAAAGTTGGACTACCATATATAATAATACAAAATTAAATGTAAGTATTTTTTTTCAATTCTTTGACATTATTTATTATTTTATTTAATGATAATAATATTTTATATTATGTCCAAAATTCATAGAATAAGTTTCATATTAGTACACGTTTGATGTACCAAAAAAGATGTTCTAACATCTTCTAAAATAAGTGATTATTTCTCCCAACAATTATTATTTATGATTATTAAATTGTGTAGAACTATGCAAGTGTGGCAAGTATATTAAACATGACCTAAAGTCCTAAAGTAACAATGACTAATTGTTTTACATACGTAGTTTTTTTTATTTTTATACAAAAAATCAGTACATGTAACATGTGCATTCATGCCTTTATGGATTATTGCATTTGGAATATGAATTTATTTATAATGTGAGTAAAAATTAAAAAACAAAATTGGACACAATGATCTTAATACGAAATGTGAGTACAAGTTAAGCGACATACAAAATTTGAAATAATTAAGAATATGACTAAAAATAAAAAATATATTGGACTGAAGTTTACAACGAGTATCAATAATATGAGCAAAAAAATAAAATGTATTACATATTCTCACAATTTTCATGACAGTTTTTTTGTTGAAATTTTATTGTAAATTATTTTACATAAATAAATTCTTTTTATAACGAATCAATAACCATTTTTTTGTTTTTATCATGATTTGTTTTGTAGTCTCATTTTTGTTTAGATTCCAACATTCAAATTTAACATATTTTATTACGATAAATAAGGTCTCTCAAATTTTCTGCGCATATGACCTCTAAAATGTCTTGATTGAACCTCAGTATTATACATAAGCATTTTATATTATACGATATCTAGGGATTGATTGTGATCTTACATCAATCTATCAACTTCTTGTAATAATTAATCTTTAACTTTTGAAAGCATCTATCCTATAATAAATGAGATGAAAATTTTCTATGCAAGTAGAAATCTAGCAAAAAATATTTTTTATGATAAATAAAGTCTCATTTTTCTATGATAAAAGCCCTAAAACTAACATTTGACATTGTATTATATTATGGTGTTCATTAAAGCCTTACATAATTGTATCAACTTCTTATAATTGACCTTTAAAAATTTAGACCAGCACAACTATTTAGAATAAATGAAATAGGAAATTTCTATGTGTTAAAAATGTAAACTATTGGTTCACTTTAGTGTCACTACATATCCTTTGCACAATGATATAAAAGATAGGTAAAAAATAATATTAATTGTCAATTAATAAGCTAAATTATGCAAGTAGAATTCTAGAAAAGAATATTTTTAAAAGTGAGAATTAATTCATGTACTCATCCTCAATTCACAATTTACAAATCCATTGTCTAAAAAAGTTATACTACCATATATAATAATACATAGTAAGTACTTTTTTTAAAATTCTTTGACATTATTTATTCTTTCATTTAATGATAATAATATTTTATATTATGTCCAAAATTCATAGAATAAGTTTCATATTAATGCAAGTTCGATGTACCAAAATGATGTACTGATATCTTCTAAAATAAGTAATTATTCCTCCCAACAAGTATCACTTACGAATATTAAAATGTGTAGACCTATGCATGTGTGACAAGTTTATCAAACATGACCTAAAGTAACAGTGACTAATTGTTTTACATACGTAGATGATTTTTCTTTTTATACAAAAATCTCAATACTACATAACATGCGCATTCATGCCTTTATTAATTATTGCATTTCACATATGAATTTATTGAGGATGTGACTAAAAATTAAAAAAAAATATTGGACACAATGTTCTTCATACGAATTGTGACTAAAAGTTAAGGGTCATACAAATGAAAACTATAAATGAGCAATAAAATAAAATGTATTACATTTTCTCATGATTTTCATGACACTTTTTTTTTGTTGAAATGTTACTATAAATTAGTTTACATAACTAAATTCTGTTTATAACAAATCAATAATCATTTTTTTTGTTATCATGATTTGTTTTGAAGTTTCATTTTTGTTTGATTCCAACATTCAAATTTAAAATATTTTAATATGATAAATAAGGTCTCTCAATTTTTCTACGCGGATGGCCTCTAAAATGTCATGGCTGAATCTGAGTATTAAACATAAGCAATTGATATTATACGATATCTAGGGATCGATTGAGATCTTACGTCTATGTATCAACTTCTTGTAATAATTAGTCTTTGACTTTTGAAAGCAACTCATCCATCCTAGAATAAATGGGATGAAAATTTTCTAGTATTGAAAATATAAACTATTGAATGACCTAATTCATCTTTTCAAAAAATTTATACCCTCATACTATATAAAGATGGGTCATACTGAATTGAGGTATCCATTCTAGAGTGCACAATTAATTAAGTGTCAAGTGTGGAATATTACTTAAGTATGAGGATGTCTATTGTCAAAGTGGCTTTCGTATTGGTTTTCATCTTTACATCAGGTTAGAAATTTTGTTTTACTTTCAACCGTTATGTGTGTCTTTGTCGAAATGTATGGATCCAATTATATATCCTAAATTATTTTGACAATACTGAATTGAGTTTTGTTTACTTGCATTACTTATGTGAATACAGATATGTGTAAGGATTCAGAGGCGCGGGGTCCCATTGTGCATTTTCCATGTCACTCGGATTTAGAATGTTCACACACTTTTGGTCCTGGTTTCAAATGTGTTCGCACATATTGTGTTCCACCACAACAGTTTGAAAAAATCCACATCCGAACATCCAAAGAATGAGTGTCGAAAGTGTGCGTTGGAATAATAAAATGATGATAAGGATGGATTGCATAATTGTATCAATTTCTTATTATAATAAATCTTTGATTGGTTAGAGCAACACATTTATCTTAGAATAAATGAGATAGGAAATTTGCATGTGTTGAAAATATAAACTATTGGTTGACCTTAGACTAA